CATGGGAGATTGTTTCTATAATTTGAGTTATGTATGAATATTGCCGACTGGTGAGATTTAACTGTCAAGGGATTTATTTAGATAACAGACAAATCTGTAGCAATGTATCTGTTTCTTTTGAATTCCTTACATTCATCCTACAAATTCAGAGGAATAGTCTCTGTAGAAAATTTGGCAGTTTTTAAGTGTTGGGTCAAACATATCAAATTGCAATAAAAAACATAGGCTTTAATGAAAAGTCGGTTAAAGATTTTAAGCACAGTCACCCCTCAGGATCTGCTGGGGTTTTGTTTCAAGATTTTCTTGGATACCAAAACAAAATCCTTGGATGCCTAAATCTCTGTAAAATGATATAGGGTTTGCTCTACATATAACCTCTTAGAGACAGTTTTTTCTTGTTTTTGAAACAGAATCTGGCCATGTAGCCTAGGTGACCCTTACACTCATTATGTAACTCACTCTGGCCTTGAACTCTCAGTTCACTTCTTACAGAAGTGTCCCAGCCATGCTCTTTATAGACTTTAAATGATTTCTAGATCACTAATCATAACCTAGCCTGATGTAAGTGTGTGACTAGTAATTTTCTGTTTTGTTTGGGGAATAATGAGAAGAAAATAAAGTGTATGTTTTTGCTATTGATCCAGGTTTTTTTTCCTGAATGTTTTCTATCTGAGGATATAGGACTCAAGAACTAGCTGTGCAGTCAGATTTGTATTATCTTCCATTATGAAAATAGAATGATTGCTGATGGTGACAAAGAGGCTAAGTCATTTTGACAGAACCTGAAGATTAAGGATTTATCTCATTACCATAGTTATTACAGACTTTCTACCTTCTGCTACAGGACTAGAAACTCTTTGAAAGGAATTTAAAAATTAGAAATATAAAAAGCTCCAACTTCTTCATGGACCATTCATTACTTAAACATAGTTTTGTTTTATAAAAATGAGCATGAAATTTACTTACCTTGAAAAAATACCTCATTGGTCAGTATTTTACTGTTTCAATACTTGTTAGCATGTAGTAAGATTCTCAAATTATATTCTTATGATTTTCATTTTGTAGAATTTTTCCCACTTGTCTCTTGAATGAAATGGGGGAAATTTCATCATCTCTTGTTATCTCCTTCCTTGTGGTGCCATTTGTTCAGAAGATCAAAGTGACAGGAAAACAAACACCAGCTTCTAATTTCCATACATGTTTTCCATCACCTTAAACATCTCCCAGTGAAATGTTGGTGAGGCATTTTGTTAGGAGATAAAGCCTGTGTAGAATATCGAAGATTTCCTGATTATTTGGATCATTTATTTTCTTTAAAAATTATCTAGATTCTTTTATAGAATTAATGTACCCACCCAGAGACCAAGAGGAGAGCTTTCTCTCTTCTTTCCTGGCAGTTTGTCTTTATCTTGTTCATACTTAGGAGTGAGTTGCTTTTGCCTCCTGCCATCTCAACTCTTTCAGTTTTCATATTACTACCTCCACTTCAACTCTTAGAACCTCCCTTTTTTTCCACTCTTTTATTTTAATAATACAAAGAGCTCTTCTTCTGTCAAGCATTAAGACATGACATATCATTGATGCACTTTTTAAAATTCTTATTTCTTCTAAGACTGTCACTGTAAATGCAGATTAAACATTTCAAGATCCATTTGCAGATTCATAACACTTTTGAATAGATTTTTATAGTTGATAATTATTTTAACTGGAAAACTAGTATGCCAGTGCAATTCATTTAAGAAGTGTCTTTGAAAACTAACCTGGAATGTAGGCTGTGCTACCCTGGTCCTCAAAGGGTTAATAAGTCTAGCTTTCACTTGCTTAGCTACCCCAATGTAATTTGGCACATTTCCAAGACCAAACCCCTGTAGTAAAGGTTAAGGTGCAGTGGGTGTTACTGAAGTGCAGGATTCAAGTGCCTTGGTATAGCTTGTACAGCTTGGAACTCTTTAGAGCTCAGGGGCCTCTGCTCTGTTGGTTTCAGAGCATGGCTAACAGACTTGAAGAGACCCTGTGAAAATGTCCTTCAATGGGGAATTGTGTGAGTGAGTACAGTGGGTGAGTCTTTGATATTTCTTGCTTTATTAGCATCTATGTTTTGTTTATCTACAATCTTAGAGCAAAGTTCTGTATTATGTATGTGGAGCAGACCCAGAGATCCCAGTAGTTAACAGCATCTGCTCTTATAGTGGTTTTCACAGTAGCTGATCCCCAGCACCAGTGTAGAAAAGCAAGCATGGCAAGCACACAACTATAACCAGAACACTGGATGATGGATCACATCTGGCCTAAGCGATGAGCTCCAAGCTCAGAAAGGATATGGTGGAGAGTAGTAGAAAAAGACAGCTGACATCAGCCTCTGGCCTCCATAGACACCTGCCCAAGCAAGGGCATGCACGCCTACATTCATGTGTGCAATACATAAAAAAAAAAAAAAAAAAAAACAAACCCCAAAAAAAAAAAAAGAACTATAAAAAAAAAAAAAAATAACTCCAAAAAAAAAAAAAGAACTATAAAAAAAAAAAAAAATAACTCCAAAAAAAAAAAAAGAACTATAAAAAAAAAAAAAAAAAAAAAAAAAACCCCAAGAAAAAAAAAAGGACCAAAAGCAAGTTCAGAACTTAGGGGCCCCTAACAACTTGTTTGGCATTGAACCCAGGACCTAGGGAGTGCTAGACAATCACTCTCCCACAAGCTATCCTCAGCCTTTTTTGAACTTCTTTTATTCTGAGAGTCTTACTGAGTTGCTGGAGCTAGCCTTGTTGTCACACTGGAGCCCAGACAGGCCTTGAATTGGAATCCTTTGGTTTTAGCCTTAGAAGTAGCTGAGATTACAGACCTGTACCACCAAACACAGAGAGGACCAGCAAGACCGGGGGCTTTCCTCTGCCTCCCCCGTGCTGGGCTTGCAGGCACGTGCCTCCTTGTACCCAACTTTTTATGAGTTCTGGGGATCTGAATGCATGTCCTTTTCCTGCATGGTAAGTACTGTGCCAACTTCATGGTCTCTCCAGCCACCAAGCTTCTGTAAGATCTTTATTTGTGTCTTTAGGACATATATTAACTGCAGACAAGGGAGCAGTCTGAAGGAGTACCTTCTTATCAATCCTTTATTATAAAAATTATGCAAATGTCTGGACAGAAATATAAGACTTGAAATCTGCTAGCTATACAACTTCAGAAATACTCTTTCCAAGTCAGCAGAACCAGGGGGTCTTTCTTTATACTATCAGTGTGCAATGAACTGGAAGTTCTATTATGGGCTCTAGCTCCTGAGGATAGGAGAGAGCCAGGAACGAATTTCTCCAGCAGCAGTCAACAGGGAAATCTGTATAAAAATGCTGCCTCTTCTCAATGGGCTGCCTTAGTCATCAACGCAGAAACGAGGCCTTCTACACAAAGCTGATTTCTCATGACATGCACAGCATAAGGAGACAGTAACAAGGGAGCTCGGTTTCTATGCCTCAGTAAAGACAAAGTGAAGTGACACTTCCAAGACACTCTCAGGCACTACTTCATGTCAAGACTGGATATTACTGAGTAGTTATGCACATACTTAAAGAGAAAGAAAATATTCTTTGCTAGGCAAAAGTTAATAGAAACCATTTCTAATTTCAAGGCAGTACATATAAAGTGATGTGAAAATATCATCCCTCCTTTGAGAGAAAAAATGTTAATGCTTCAACATCCTATGTCTTCTGTCAAATTTAGTAGTTCCCTAGAAGGAGAGCCAGTGTGGCCAATCAGTGAGCTCTAGGATTAGTGAGAGACCCTGTCTCAAAAAAGTAAAAGAAATAATTGAGGACCCTCGGTGTCATCCTCTGTCCCAAGCACATACACCCATATATGCTGCCCCACTCCAAATGTTTCTTATCCTCGTGAATCTTTGCCCATAAAAAAAATCATGAAGAATGTGGTGAAGGTGTGATAGTCTCCGAATACTTCTCAGACCCTGAAACCTTCAAAGACATCTGATTTGAATGTATTTCGTTGGCCAGCAGCATGAGATTTGCTGACATCCATTTTATGCTCCAGCAATTAGTGACCATTTGATCCCTTTGTACTTCATGGCCACAGAACTAACATAGTTTAGGTAGAGGGAAGAGTTAGCCAAAGGTAAATGAGCTGGCAGTGGGTGAAAAGAAAGACTGGTCTTTTAACTGATTCGTGACCAGCAGTATGCTCCAGATTCATATTCATAAATGAGATCAGCCAAAAGGTTAAACTTTCCTTTCCATTTGACTTCCCTCCTTCATCCACATAGATGAAAACCGATGCTTCTGTCTGCCTGGCATTAACTTACCAAAACAGTGACATCCTCATTTGCATAGTATAAGCACGGTTTTATTCCTAATTCTTTCTGAACACCTCAGTAAATATTTTAACATGTAGCAAATACTATGTGGTAAGTAAAGTAAAGTGTGGCATTTTCTATAGTAGTAGAGTACTATTAAGTAACGTAATAAACATACACCAGCTGATTTACTAAATTCTTGAGTGTTTCTCTCTTTAGCCAGTTAATCGTTCTTCTTATCTTGTTACCCCTCCTCTTGTAAAAAAAACTGTAGATTTAGCATTTAGACTTTCATGTATGAAAGCCTTAGGTTTTCATCTAATTGTTCTGTCCCTTGCCTCTTCATTCTCCAGCTCCATTTACGTCTACCCTCCCTCCACCAGTGTATGAATCTGGTCTCTGCTCAGCTGATGACCCACTGCTATGGTCATAGGGCTATTCCCATCAGCGGGAAACATGTCTTCCATAAATCTCATTTTTAATATTTATTTATTTATTTATTTATTTATTCTTTCTAGTTAGCTCTGGCAGTCCAGGAACTTGCTATATAGACTAGGAACTCTGGCCTGGAACTCACAGAGATCCCTCTGACTCTGCCTTCCAAGTGCTGGAATTAAAGGCATGCACCACAATACCCTGCCCTATAAATCTAAATTTTAACAGAACTTTTGAATTCTAATTTGATGAGCTGTCTGGTTTGTTTCAGTCGAGCGACCCATGAAGTGGCAGAGGAATTTTCTCCTCAGGATCCAAAAACTCTTTTTGTAAAGCAAGATGGCACTTCGGTCACACCAGCATTGCCCCCAGCTGATCTGGAAAGGGAAGAAGAAAAAGATGACACTTCGCATCCTATAGACCTGAACTCCTGCAGTGCAACATATAGCAACTTAGGTAAGTGCAAATGTTATATAAAAAGTATTTAAACCTTGCCTTTTTATGTACTGGATCAAAACTTGTACCTTTGGAGTTGTAAATTTACATTTACTTCAAAAACTAATATTCCAGTTTTACTAGGCTTGTTTTAAATGCCTGCTACCATGAGCCCTGTGCCATGTGCTAAGGATGCTGATGTGATCCCTGCCTTGCAGGAGCCAACCTGAAGAGAAAGAACGGAACTTGAATTCAGTATAATGTGATAAATATGATTGTGGAAACACACACAGAATATTTTTGATGTTACACAAAGAAGAGTGTCAAAAGAAACCTTCCTAGAAATCATTCCTGAGCTGATTTAACTTGTTGTCAGAGGGAAAAAGAGAATGTTCCAAACAGGCAATAAGTGAACAAAACTGTGAAATACAAAATAGCCTGGTGCCACAGCCATTTAACGTTGCTGCAATGTGGGGTGTTAGAGAAGATGTATTTCAAGTTGAAATCTTAGACCTTTTGTTATTTGTGGTAGTGACCCATCAAGAGGCTTCAAGAAGACAGATGACATTTATGATTTAAAATGGGTACACATAGACTGTGGTATTTGGTAACAGGTGGCATTGCTATGGAACTATGTGAGAGAAAGAGAAGAGGGAGCCTAAGTTAAGATGGGGAGAGAGAACAGTGAACAAATCAGAGGAATATTTTAGGGCAAAATATACATGAGGTAGGATAATGTGAAGAACAGGATTTTTGGCTTGAGTAAGCAGACTAGAAGTATGAGTCCTGTGTCACAGACCTACTGTAATGGAGAATGTCCAAGGAGGGTTAAGCAGAATTGCTTCAGAATTTTTGCAAAAAACGTCCTCAGATCTCTACTTTCCTCATTGTCTCTGGAATTCCCAGTGACTTTTGAATTATCTTTCTTCCTTGAGATTCTTTCTTTCTGGAAAAGGAAGCCTGGATCAGAATAAGTTTTTTTGAGATTTGTCACTGTTTTCCTGCCGATCTGTGGGGAAGAGGAGGTGAGCAGCATGGACCACCTGCAGATAGTGTGCCAGCAAGATTCTAATGAGCCGCTGGCCCCTGTTTGGAAACCACTGGACTATGTCTCTGAAGGGCCTAGTTTCTCATCTCTCTTCTTTGTCTTTTTCCTCCATTGTGTGACTTTAAGGAAAAAACATACCAAAAATCAGCTAGTATATTTGAAAATTGAAAATATTAGGTTCCTTAATTAACAAGTCCAAAAGATTGAAACAAATAGGAGAAGTGCTCTAATCTCCTGTTGGAAGACTCAGTCAGAACAGAATCCTCAAGTCTTTTTCTAACTTCAGTTTCAGTAGATTTTATAGTTGAATAGCTTATTGGACTTTTCTCATTCTTTCGTATTTTACAAGTACATAATAAGATGAAGTTTTTACTTACTTTGTGCCCTAAAATAGCATATCAGGCATTACATATTATAGATATTTTTGCTATGCCAAAATTTCTTTCATGACGGCCTCAGTAAAATGTATCAGTCTTTAGGAATAATCGCATACGGCATCTCTTCTTCAGGGTTTCCATTAGCAACTGGGTGTGGCAGCTGACACCTACAACCCCAGCTCTTGTGGGCCCAAACCAGGAGAACTGTGACTTTGAGGCTAACTTGCACTTCATAATAAGACTGTTTCAAAAAAAGAAAGAAAGAAAAAGTGAGACAAGGTGGCACATGCCTTAATCCAGTACTTGGTAAGTGGAGGTAGAAAGCACAGGACTTCATTGTCGTCCTCAGCTAATGTAAAGTTTGAGGCCAGGCTGGGCTACATGAGATAAGAGAGGGGGGGTAGAGGGGAGGGATCTGTAGTTACAGACAGTTATGAGCTGCCATGTGAGTGCTAGGAATTGAACCTAGATTCTCTGGAAGAGCAGGCAGTGAGACACCATCTCTCCAGCTCCTTTTTTTTTTTTTTTTTTTTTTTTTTTTTGTGTGTGTGTGTGTGTGTGTCTGTGTGGTATTTTGAGACAGGGTTTCTCTATATTGCTTTGAAGGTTGTCCTGGAACTCCCTCTGTAGACCAGGCTGCCCTCGAACTCAAAGAGATCTGCCTGCCTCAGCCTCCCAAGTGCTGGGATTAAAGGTGTGAGCCACCAATGCCCAGCCTCCCTCTCTTTTTTTTTTTTTTCTGTGATAACATTAAGTTTAATTATTTTAGCTCATTGTTAGACTAGGAAAGGAAGGCAGGAAGGCTGGACCAAGTTAGAGTCCAGAGAGCCTTAGGCATTCATGACTCTCACACCCTCGGTCATTAAATTCTTGTATAACACTGGAGGGCTGGGACTTCTGGTTTGTTTTGTTTTTTCGAGACAGGGTTTCTCTGTGTAACAGCTCTGGCTGTCATTGAACTCACTTTGTAGACCAGACTGGCCTCGAACTCACAGAGATCCACCTGCCTCTGCCTCCAAAGTACTAAGATTAAAGGTGGGTGGCACCACTTCCCTGCAAGGCCGGAACTTTTGAATCATCAACTTTCAGTCACAAAATTTAGGATTAAAAAATTATGGTTACTTAGAATCCAAAAATTCGAGATGTCCTGTGAAAAAGATGACTTTCCATTGAGTTTAGCTCAGTGGTAGAGCTCTTGCCTAGCAATCATAAGGCACTGGGTTCAGTGTCCAGGACGAGGAGGAGGAGGAAAACAGGTGAATTTCTTTTCTTTGTCATAAGTATATGATGCCTATGTTATCCAGTCTTCCTTTGGGATTTTTTTCATTCTTTTTATTTTTAAATAAAAGGGGGAGGGGGGACTTGCAAGTAAAAAAACATTACACACCAAAATTAACCAGACTCATGTCTAGCCATCTCATTGAATTTAGTGCAGCCATTCTGAAGCTGTTGAACTTCTGGTGGATTTTACACTTTAACTATTTTTATGGGCTTATCAACTACCAAAAAATGAAAAATCCATGACAAAGTTAGAACTAGAATAATAATTAGCTTTAAGCCTTCTTTAAGTGCTTAAGTAGCAGCTCTGGCTTGACTTTGTATGGTTTGATACATGCTTAATTTTTCTGCTTTGGAGGAGTAATAGTTAAGTTTGATTCCATCAGCTCTCGAAGCTGAAGATTTGGGTTTATTGCTGTTTTCACTGGTGGAACTAGTATGTAGGTGGCATTTGGAGCTCTTTTTTTTTTTTTAAGAAATTCAGAAAATCATCTTTATGACGTTTTAAACTATCCCCTTGGATAATTGTTTGTGATTTAAAGCTCTAATAACTTTTTATTTTTAATGGTACTTTTGACCCACACCTACAATCCTGACACTTGGGAAGTAGACAGGAGGTCAGTAATTCAAGGCTAGTCTGGAAAACTTGGGACCCTTTCTTAAAAAACAAATAGAAGCCCAAGGGGGAGCAGGGAAGATAGCTAAGTGGGAAAGTGCACTGGTTGTGCAGACAGTAAGAACCTAACTGAAATCCCCAGTACCCACATAAGAAGCCAAGTTGAGCCACACATGCCTGTAACCTCAGTGCTATAGGGATGGTGTGGGAAGCTTGCTGGAGCTTGCTGGCTGCCGGCCTAGTCCCAGGTTTTGTGAGAGGCCCTGTCTCAGGGGAGTAAAGTAGGTCATTAGAGCTGGACACACAACATAATGGTGACTTCACTCTGGATGATGATCACATGGATCACAGGATGAACTGGCCGTTACCAACTTCATTGGACCCAATCTGGATTTCACAGCATGTCTGCACCCAAAACAATTTCCCAAAGAAGTGATAGAGTATCTCTTTTTATTAAATTTAATATTTTCCTGTTTCTCATGTGTACCTTAAAATGTCTTGAAGAAGGATCACTGGTTATCTTTTATGTGGGCGTGTCTGCCTACTTTATTTTCTTGCTAGAATCACAAGTACGTAAGAAGTTGTACCCTGTTGAAACCCAGCTGATAACTTTAGGTCTCCTTCGTTCACTTTGTAACTAAGTACTCTATACATTGCTTTTTAAAAAGCTCAGTCAAGTCTCCCTCTACTCCACATAGGTTTGGCTTGCTCCTCTTTCTGTATCCCTACAGCCTAGCATGTTATCTAAAACACACAGGAGTTGCTAAGAATGTGTTTGAGTAAATGAGCTAAAAATGACTGTTGTGTTTGACTTTTGAAGATTCCCAGATGAAAGAAATCTGACTGTTCACAGGAAAGTTCATGTAAGAGATTTCAAGTCATAGTTTATATGCTTTATTAATCTAGCTTGATTTTCTAATATTGGACTTAATATATAAATTCCTAGTTTAGGAACTATATGAATTTTCCCTCTGTCTCCTAAGGATCTCCATAAGAATCTGTTGCACATTACTCATTTTAGTTACTTTGAGCTTAAAGCTGCACCCTTCAAACACCAACACAAAACACCTAAAGGCATTCTGCCTGTGTTGTCAGTATTAAAGGTGAAGGGTGGTTATCCATAAAAGGATGGCATTTGTTATATTGCTGGTCTTGATGCTGTGGTTATGGAGTAAGCCATCCAAAATGCCAGCTCTTAGGAATATACAATGCATATTTCCTCAATAAATAGTTAGTGAATAGGTATCATTCCATACATTGTGGTGTTAAATTATTTGAACCAGTTAAGGGTTGGCAAGATGGCTTAGCAGGTAAAGGCACTTGCCACAAAGCCAGACAACTTAAGTTAAATCCCTGGAATACCCATGGTGGAAGGAGAGAACCAGCTATCCAAAGTTGTCATCTGAGCTCCAAACCTGTGTATATGTGTGCATGGGCACGCACGCACACTAAATAAATAAATAAATAAATAAATAATAAACACATAAAATATTTTCTAGAAGAATTGCAGTTAAGATTATCTGAAACTAAAATAAAGCTAAAGTTGACAGCTTTGACCATTTGTTTGAACATTTGTTATAACCCCTATAATTGTAATTAGCATTTGGTATAATTATTTCTATTAAAAGAAATTGTGGATTTTGTTCCTAAGTTAGTTGCATTCGTATTTTAAAATAGTTTCCCATATCTGAGAATTAGTTAA